AAAGAAAGTGAACTGGTCAGCGGTAAGCGAACTAGTACCAGATTCCTGACCGAGAATCAAGATGGCGAACACGGAGAATGATCCGAAAGGTGAGGGAGAAAATTGAGTATTTGTTTTATGCACTATATTTCTGTCAGATGACTTGAGAAGTATTTGTTTAATTAATTAACATGTCAGACGTTGCGGAAGGAAAAAAAAATGGATGTTTATTTTGACATAGTCCAAACACTATATTGCTGACCAACCTCCTTAGATCAAAAGCGTAGACTCCACTTTAGAACTACTTGATTTGCAAAATTCTCTATGCTTGGGCAAAGTAGATACTGGATTAAGGACAAATTAGTTGTGGAATAGGGTTGAAACTTAACTAGTGCCAAATGGGTAAATGTACCTATAATAGTTGTGTCAAGCAACAAGGGGAGTGTGGGTGTGGGGTTAGGGGGTGGGGATCAAAGAAAGTGAACTGCGAAGTTTATTTCTGTGACAGTACTTGTAACTGTCAGGATGCACGACTTCTTGGAAAGGTTTTTTTATCACTTGACAGCATTAGCTTTGTTCTCGTCAACTTCTCAGTCGTCAGTTCATGGACTTCATACAAAAGAAACATACTGTTAAGTACAAGAAAAGATTTGCAGGCATCAGCAGTATCAACCCAGTGGCAAAGACAAGCGTTGTAATGTGTTTATTTTGTGGAAAACTGTTAAGGTATAAAAGTATTATGTCAAGTGTTTCCACTGAAATCATGGGGTAAAAATATATGTTGTGGTAACGGTGTTGTTTCATCAACTTTTGTTACGGTGATGCAGTATTCCTAAATTTCTTTGTAGTGTTGCAGTGCCTCAGAGCCCCCCCTCCTGCGTCATGATCCAATTTACTTAATTTTAAACTCAACATTTTTACCCTTCACATACAGTGTAAGCAAATAGTTCTCCCATGTTGACAATTGCAATGCAAGGGTGTCTGTTTACAGAGGTGTGACTGAAGATGCTGGGTTATTTTTTTTTATCCATTTTGTAACTGAAAAAATCAGGTACAAGTCAGGGATAAGTTGTAGAAAATTATATGTAAAATTTTAATTATAATGATGAAAGAACCCTGTCCATTAAAATTAACCTGACACTGCTCCTGACCACTCAATTGGTGAAGACAGCAGCATTCTGCAGTCTGCATTCTGTGTTCTGCAATTACACCCATCATGTCCAGGGTATTGTCTGTAACATTTTCAATGTAATTTCATTAATACATGTAATTTACAGCTCTCTCAGAGAAGAGGACTCAAGCACTGGTTTCACTTAGTGTGGGAGTTATTTTTATTTGCATTGGTATTCCTCTTTGGTGGAACACAACAAAAGTTTACAGAGCATCCCTTCCTTATGCTGAGATAGAGCAGCTGAACCAACTCAAGGTATTACTCAAATAGCTCATTTGAATAATAGTATGTTCTAGTGGAGTAGAGTTTTGATTACGTTTTGAGCACTTGCTTGTCTCCCTCAGATTATCGAGTGAGAAGCAAAACAAGGTGGTGGAAAAATGAGAACTTTAGTTGGGATAGAACATGTCCCCAGCTGGCAAACCAAGCTAGTAACATTTTGGCACATTTTAATTTTGGTATTAAAAATCCTAATAAATTTATAGGTTATTGCGCGCTGACTGTGATACTATATATGTCGCATGGATTAATAGTAACAATAATGTTGCAAGAATCGTTTCAGTGGCTGAGATGGCTGTGATTTTTGATTTCTCGTGTAGTTGAGGTTTGTAACAAACTTTAAAGTGGTACTTCTTGGGCTTCAAGATCCTGTTGCTTTAAAAGATGAGATTGAAAAAAAACTCAGTAAAGAAAGGGGTAAGTTACAACATCTAATGTGTTCTCTGTTTTAGTGTAACTTTTTAGTAGCTAATGTTATTAAAATATTTGTGATTAATTAACCATCATAATGATGCAATATTTTCTGTGCTCTCTCTCTTCTTTATGGCCTGATTCCTGATATTGTTATTAATTAATCATAACTTTACATTGTTATACTTAAATATGATACCTAATTATTATGGGAAGTTTACTTAGCCTTATAGAATAAAGACAAATGTAAAACCTATATCAGACATCAGGTATATCCTTTCATTGTATTTATCAAGTACACTTTTACACCATAATAATGAAATACACTTGTCAAATGTTTAGATTATTCTGTCGTATCAGCTGCTTATAAGCTGACAGTTGAAAGGAAAGACAGCACAGATTCTGCAGCTGTGTTCAAGGAACTCAAAGAAAGAACTTTGCAAGGTGAGGCAAACAAACTATTAGTTTCACCTCATCTCATTGCTGCTGTTAGAAAATGTTGTACTATGATTGGTTTGCTTCCAAAAAATATATATGAGATTATTTTTTACATACAGTCTCATCTGTTTTTAATTTTAATGAGGCAATGTTTTTCATCAACAGAGTTAGATGATTATTTTCAACAACAGGACAATGTGGCAAATGAAGAAAGACATCAATATTCGTTTTTTGTACTTCCTTATGAAAGTCTAGAGTCAAATGCCATTGATGCATATGTTGGAAAATATTTTCATTGTATCTTATACAACAACAAAGGTAGGAAATGTTTAAATCACACTAACAGCTTTAAGTGTCTTTTGTCGTAATAAATAAATACAAGTTTTAAATTAATAAATTTGTACTCAAATACATGAATTATACTAAACACTAGTGAAACTAATAACTGTACAACCTCCTGAAATAAGGTGGTGTTCTAAAAAATTGATTTTAATATTTGGGTGGTTTCAATGTGTAAATTGAGTAATGCAACCTTAAAATGTCTGGATGTAATTGGAATACTTTTGTGTTGCAGATCCAGTAAAGCTTGCATCAGCAATCACTGAGGTTGTTCGGAGCATTTTTGTCAGTGAAGAAGAAGTCAACAAAGCATTTACCTTGGCTTCAAAAAGAGAATTTGCAAAGGTGTGTGAAGTAACTAATAAAACAATTTTTATTAGAGTGATGAGGTTTTATCAAGCAAAATGCATGCTCATTCTAGCCACTGCTGGGTATGCAATTTGTGTGAACTATTAAGGTGTTTCTGAGTCTTTACTTTCTAACTGCTTCAAAGTGTTTGGTTTGAGATTAACATAATAGTCCTTAAAATAATAAACTTCCTTTAAATGTCTTTTTTGGTCCAAGCTCAACTCAGTTAAAACCTTTGAAATTGTTATTGAAGACTTTTGTTTTTGAATTTTAGTCAGAGATTCTATGTGTAAAATGTAATTTGACAAAGTTCTGTGCTTTGCTAGGACACTGTGGAAAGTATGAGAGCCCAAAAGTCAATAACAGGTGTGAGTCATTTAAAGTTACCATGATTGAATGAAAACAAGATTTTGATTTGGTTTGTAAGGTAGAATAATAAGTGTCAGTGTGTTTTAGAAGTACTAAGTAAGACTAGCACACTGAGTCTACAGATTTGTCTGAATTTTTTTCGTTTTATTTACTAGTAATACACAATAATTTTATTATATATTAAGTTCTTTACCTCCGTACTAACAAATTGTCTCGAAGCTAGTTAAGCTGCTATCTAACACACTTGTCTATTATTAATAACTTCCTCAACACTCAAGAAATATGTATTAATTAAAGTTATGTATATTTTTTAAGGTTTTCAGGTTTCCTTTACACTTCTGAACTCTGATCCAGACTTGGTGCTGGCTGAGTGGGATATCGAGTCTGCTGTACAAAGTGAGTCAAATGCTTACACCTCTGCTTACTTACTTTATTGCATATCTGTTTGTGTATTCATTTATTAGTTGAATTATTTTTTTAATGCAATTTTTGACATGCTTACCTAGAATACCTGGATCCCTTTTTGATGAAGATTCCTCATTTGGATATCACTGTGGATTCTCAGGTGAAGCAACTGATAAACAGGAAACCTTATGGGTACAATAAATCAGCATGCTTCTATTTCTTTTCAAGTTGCGTTCACAAGTGGCAAAACTCAGAGGCCTTTAGTTTACTGATTATTGAGGTTTAAGGAGTTTTAACAATGGGACCCACAATGACACTATTCAGTTAAAAAAAAAATCAAATTTAATTTTATTGAAAGGTGCTGTATTGTTCCTTCTAATCTATACAGGTTCTTCATTATAGTAGCATCAAACTCAATCCTCACAAGGATGGAAACACTTTCTATCTTCCTTATGATGACTTGCCTCATATGATTAATCCTGTTGAAGCCAAACTTGGTATGTGAATTAAATGTATGTAATAAGTTATGATCATGGTCATTGCCGTTATCTTAGGAAGGGCACTCACAGTCCTCCTGAGCATGCAGTGATCAATGTTTTCAAATGGGTATTTGGTGAATACTGTTGCCTGTGCCCTGCGAGAAGTTGGTTTCTCCTACACTGAATGCTATGCTGCTCTTGTTTGGTGTAGGAGAAACCAACTGCTTGCAGATTATGTTGCTTCGTGCAAGACAAGATACTGGGGACGAGGGGGAGGTGGGGGGTGCGGTAACCCATGATGGACTCATGTCTAGTATCTATAGCTGTGGACTGGAGTGTAAGGTTGGCTGACTGGACACTTTCTAGTGGATTACAAACACACTTTGCTGGTACCTGGCTAGGCTTATATCAGACACTGAGTGGAGTGAGACTGCAATTGGCAAAGCTTTAAGTTTAGGAAAACAAGTAGAAACTGTTGTTAGTCTACTGAGCTGTTTGCTGGGTGTTTGAAACAAATAAAGCAGAACATTTCACGGTTTTATAACTGAGTGTATAATGTTTCTTTCAGGTTCTCATATTTCCTTGTATCCAAGTTTGAATTTTGTTGTTTATGTCCCTTCCCAGAGGCACACCCCTCTTTACATGAAAAATAAAGATGGTAAGACCTAGCATTTTAATACATAGCCCGTCTTGTAGTACTCATAAAAAGAATAAATGCCAATAGAGGTTTCATTTAACGTTTTAAATAAGTAAGTTAACAAAATTTTCTGTAGTTGTGATAAAGGAAATGTTTAAAAATATACAGTGGTACTGGTTAGGTTGATATCAAGTTGATATCAAATGCTTCTGTTGTGTAAATGGGGAAGATATCCTGCTTAAAACCTTATTGATTTCAACACCTACAGAGAACAGAGACTGAGATATTGGCGACCTGTGGGCCATGCACAGGACAGGCAGTCCACTGAGAAGTCTTTTGACATTTCTGTCGTTTAAGAAACCCCTGGCACTGATAAGACATTTTAAAATTTATCCTGCAGGCGAACGGAGCAGTAGCAATGCATTTTTGAGTCCTCAGTGGGGCGGAATCATGATCTACAATGTAGAGAGAACAGCAATAGAGAACAACACCAAACCACAGCAGATAGCTGTGGATATGAAGTCTGTTATGAATATATTCCTGTCACAACTCAAGCTGTTATTGGGCTGGAAACCTGTGGTAAGTATGCAAGTAATGTTACATAACAGTACGAGTACTACACGCGATTACAGCCGTATGGGGATCTTACGGTAACGACAATGATAACGGCAACAAGACCATCGCCAAACAAATTAAAGTAGTGTAATGGCTCCGCATGTGTGTTATTCACCTTAGTACAATTTTTGCCGTCTTTGTGCAAATCAGTCTGCGTTATGTTGGAGAACGGAGAACACGACTGGTCATTTTGGCGTAATTTGTTTTCGGAATTAAACGCTGTCCTTACACGTTCAGTTAGAGCTTGTTCTTAATCCGATGCTAAAGTCCTAAGGATTCTTTAATGTCAATTTATGGCTCGTTTTATCCCAGTTCTTTATTCTTTCCAGAAACCTCTTGATGGTATCGAAATGAGGCTGGTTGGCGATGTTGGAGTGACAAAATGGGTAACTTTGATTTGTTTCTTAAAGTTCACTTGTCTCTAAATGCAAAGATAGCAGTCCGGATTCTTGAATTTTGTAACATAACTGCCAAAATACCGGTTTTGGACCTTTTTGCGTTTCTTCTCCCCAGTGCCTAGTTGCCACAACGGGAAACAGAACACTGTCATGTGCGCAAAAGCAGAAAGAGTCCTTCAGATTAAGATGAGTGATCATAGAATAAATTGTTACCTCCAATTAACTCTGCAGGAACAAGAGTCACTGATGAGATTGAAAACAATGGAGTATTTGGCAACTTCCACCATCACGCTGACTTCACTCGCTCAGCTACTGGGAAAGATCAGCAACATGGTGATTAATGATCATATACAAGAGCAAGTGGAACAAGCTCTTGAAGCAATTCATCAGGTTAGAGAACGATTTATTTGTGACCGCCTCCCCGGGTCTACATGTGGTATATTACGTTGTGGAGCAATTGCTAAATTGGAACGAGGTACAATGGAGCGAGTGTTGAAGGGAGGGGTACATGTGTATTGACCAGTCCCTTTTCGCCTATCTGACTCGCCCCAATTCCCCACGTACGTGGTATCGCTTGTTGTATTATAGGCCGTCAATAGGGAGTTTAAGTAACCACGACGACGGCGCCGAGAACAACGTCGATTAAAAAATGAATTGATAATTTACCTACGAATCTTGCGATCTCGAAACTGAATATGAAACACAGCGTAAAATTCGAACTATAAATTTTAAAATTTATCTGTCGTGGTTCACGTTCTCCACACAAGGCAGAATTTGGTCATTTCACGTTGCTGTTTTACCGAGGACGGCAAAGAAATGTACCATGTATTATAACGTATGTACACAGCCATTGTATTACTCATTAAACCTTTTCTTTAGCGAGTTCTCGTTGGCATTGTGGTTTTCTTAAACTTCTTAATGATTTCGGGCCATGGTGGCCTCAAGGATTTTGCCGCCAACAGGCGTTCCCATGCTCTCCCTAATTTCTATCGATTTCTGCTGCCTGGCTTTTACCAAAGTGTTAATGAAGTAACTCTGATAACATTTATTTTAGTTCGTTACCTATTCATATGCAGCAATATCTGTGATTATAACACGGAGGTAACTAAGTTGTGCTTTTGTCGTAGTCCACAACAGCTCTTCAAGATGGAAACTTAACTGCGGCAGTACTCACAGCTAAGAAAGCCATCAGATCATCAGGTTAGATATCTCCTCTGATACGACCTGTGGTTGTTGTTGTTTCTCTTTTGGTTCTACTGATTAGATACCATGCCGGTCTAATTTGTGTGTCTGTGTGTCTGCGACGCAAGCTAAATAGATCAAAAAACAGTTATAAAATAGATAGAATGAGGCGCGCTACAAGGGTGCTGCATCCTATGGTAGGACGACTTTCATAAAAGATTACACCACTGACTGGGTCTTTCATTTCCTGGAGTTAGGTTCCATTGCTCTGTTGATCATCATGTTTTCTTGTTTATTTCAGAGGAGGCATTTTTTGACCCATCGATACTAGAGCTTTTGTACTTTCCAGACGACCAAAAGTAAGGACGATGTTGTCAACTGTGTGGTGTAAACATTGTTTCTTTGGCTCGTCACGCATACCTCCCGAACGTTGGGAAGGAGTGCGTGACAAGCGTCTTCATAGCTGGCTAGTCGGTCCACAGACTTTTTTGCAACGAGTTACTTTTATTCAAGCGCGCGAGATGAAGCGCGGAGCGTGAGAGCGGTCGTGAAGCGGACGCAAAAATTTTTCCCCCTCTAATGGGACCCCCTTACGTTCGGGCTTTTTCAAATTCCCTGCGGTTAATACTTTTGCTTGTGATCTCAACGAACTCAAGACAAATAGAGGGTATATGGACTGACTATAGGAGGCTACAGTTGTTTAGAATCCAGGGGAATTCTTTATGGTTATTAAAAGAAGCAAGAATTCATCTACTTACAGTGATATTGGCCGTCACCCAACCTGCAGGCAAAGAGACACAAACGGGCTGAGTATAAATTCGTTTGCTCTTATTTCCAGGTACGCCATCTACATTCCACTGTTTCTTCCCATCAGCTTGCCAGTGCTGTTATCTTTAAGGCAGGCAATAAGGTGGTACAGAGGAAAAGACAACACAGACGAAAAGGACGAGCAAAAAGATAAACAAGATTGACACAAGCTCCGCGAGTATGTTCGTCTTTACGTATGGCAGGGAGTTTACGCCGGTCGCGAAAAAACGGTTGCTGCTTTTCGAATAATTTTGTTTCATGCGATTGACGCGCTTTGGAAGTGGACAGACAGAGTGCTTTTCGAACAATTTTGTTTCATGCGATTGACGCGCTTTGGAAGTGGACAGAAAGAGATCATGTGAATTCAAGAAATGATTAAATGTTCTATTATGCGTAACTCGACCACATGCCGTACGAACGTGCACCTGTCCGTGTCGTTAAGCAGTAAGAAAACATTCCAAGAAAGACAATATATGAAAGACCTAAGGAGGTGAAAGAGCAGGAATGTGAAAACATCAAACCCTAGGGAAATGTTAATCACAGAATTTAATCGTCAAGAAATTTGTGGTCTTTCTGGTATCCTCTTGTTGTGGTCGCTCGATTGCCAATAACCGCTTCCACCGGTGAAGTAATTGTGTGTCAGAAATGAGAATGGAATCGGGAGTTGCCTTTCAGCAGATATCAAAAGCGTGTTGCAAGAGGACGACAGGTTTTGGTCCAGAAAGTAGTCATACATTTGGAAAAGTTAGCTAATTATTTAATATTCCCAAACTACTATTTCTGTTCAGTAAATACATACAGTTGAAGCGGTTTGTACATCAAGTTTCTAACCAGATAAAAGTTTACAACAGCAAATTAAATGTGCGTCAAGGTGTAGATATTGACATTATATTTGTAAGTGAAACATTTCTATGATGTATGCATGTGATTTTGAAACAAATTACTCGGACGTGATACTTTTTAAAAGTCCCAGATATCTGGAAAAGCTAAGCTTTCGATTATCACATTATAATGGGCTCCATCATTGTATGTCCAGCCTTCTTCTGTGATCTCGCCTGATGTTTCCAGTTCCTTCAAAGACTGGCCCTACAAGTAAGAAAGAATAAACGTTTAGATTGATAGCTTTTTTAAGTAAAATCATTGCAGCCCCCGAAGCGGCTGAATTGTGACATACCGGTACTTTACAACTCGTTTAAGATCTTTCTCGTTAGAGAAAGCCGTTTGAGAAATTGAATTAAATAGCCTGACTGAGATGCAGACCGTGAAGGTTTCCTATACTTTTTAGTTCCCAAAGGGGTTTTAGTTTTGTTACCTTTGCGAGTTACTAAGATTCGCGAAAATTTAGCTTCGGAAAGAATAGACAATCATGAAAACTTTCTTCTAAATCTCTACATACCTCTAAGAACCTTTCCGCGGAACTTAAACCTCGCAAACTAATGCCCCCTCCGAGAAGGACGTTTCTATGGTAACCATAGAATGTTCTTGAGGATTCCGATGACTTTTTATCGAATGCGCTTGGGCCCTGTTTCGTAATTTGTATACTCAGGTTAACTTACCTAATATCGGATGCAGAGCGCATCTTTCCTTCAAACATTTCATTGGCTGCTTTAGCGACGGCGTTCCCAGGCCCCATGGACGCTACAGCTAGAACTTTGTCACCTCTGGAAAATAAAGTGTAACAAAAGATGTCGTGAAAAGAAAATTCATTATGATTTCTTGAAAGGACACCTGATTGCCGAAGATTTCTCACTGGCGCTGATTTTGTCCACCGTTGTGATAGGTTCTGACAAAACTGTGTGTTTTTAAGTTTCTGAAGGACATAGAAAACTAAGAATATCTCGTGTTCATTTTCAGAAGGCAAAACCGTAAGAGAGAAAAGCTGAACACTCACTTGACAAAGTAAGCCGTGAATTTCTGTTGATCTACGTTTCCATCGATGATCACGTCATCAAATGAATGGGCGTGACCTAAAAGCAAGTTTCAAGACCTAATGAGATGAATATGATTAAACTGCAGTATACATGAAGCATTTAAAATGTGCTCAACTGATTGTATGGCCAACCTCCCGGGGAAAATTTTACAACGGAAATTGAACCAGGTCGCTTTATGTTGACGCATCCTGATACAAGCATTCGGAGTGAATTTGGAAGACCCGATTTGAGTATTTGATCCCAATTGATATCAGGACAATGACTTTTCCGAAACTTGCTATCACAACCCTCGTTGCATCAAGCTAAACATAGCGCGCGCCTTTAATGTCCAATTTCTGGATGATGAAACATTGAGAAAGTCTGCAAAGGGGACTCGACTGAAGAAGGCACAATACTGACAATTTCTCAAGCAAAACGTTACCAGCTTTCTAACGGACCTTGGTTTCACGCTGGAACAAATGCTGAGGACCGTGCTGAGCTTTTCAGGGGTGTAATTTCCAACACACAAGTCTGATTTACGTGGTTCGATCAGTACGCTGCTACTTAGTACGGTGTCATCACAGCTATACCCAGCAACATTAGTGCCTTTCGTCAAACTTTAAAAGAAGAATCCCATCCAAAGTACACTTCGGAAGGAAACAGGAACCAGACGAGATAAAGAATGTAAGCTTACCACAATATCTGATGCTCTTGCCATACTGTGAGGTCCAAAAGAACGGTATTGTATTAATCTCTTCGTTTCTTCCAAGCATGTTACGCGCGGCTGTCAACCCTGCAAATTAAAATTGGAACACATATCAATGGTTATCGTATGTGGAAGAAACAAGTTTATGCAGTATTTGGAGACAAAAACAACACAAGTAGGTCAAGCTACCGGGTTGAATTAATTCCCATTATTTCTGTTCTCAGATCGTGAGCAACGAGTGGTCAACGCCAGGCAAAAAATACTAAGAGGGTGAGAGTGGGGATACCTTACTCTTCTCGTTGTTTCGATCCGATCTCGCTTGTTTCTTTACAGCCTGAGAGTCAAACAAGGCGGGCATGTAACTAAGGGCACCTTGCCTACACCGCCGTTCTTTAATGCGTCAGTTCGTAACTTTCTTCTTGTACAACGCACCACGGTTAGTCCAAGTCCCAATCGGATAACGTTCTCTAGTACAAATACTTATACTGAAGTGTGTTTGGCTATTTGAACTGGTCCATGCTGATAACTAGCAGTACTGGTTTTCGAATCAAGCCGCGGGATCTTTCCCCTCTTTAGCCGAGGGAAACTTACCATGCTTGTGTGAGATCTGCCAGTGACCAATAGATACCCTGTCCCAGTTCAACATCTTCAGAGGAAAGTGAGCGATATCTCCAGAAGCGAACACTCCTTCACACGCCTTCATGTACTACAGGATGAAGCAAAGAAATGTTTCGCTCAATGACTTGCGTGCGTGTGACTCACCGCCAAGCGCAAGTGCACATGATAAGGCTACAGATCTTAAGTCCCGTCTTGTTTGCTCGTGTCAACAGGAGCTTGATGATAAAAGCACCCTCAAGTAAACCTGTCATCGCAAAATTCGGGCTCCTACCTTGTCGACAATCACATCTCCACGGCTGGATAGCGGCACGCCACTAGCTTTTAAGAAATCAGTGGATGGTATTACCCCTAAGAAAGATGAAGATACGCGGGATACACTTTTAATTAGTCGCGGACTCTTTCGTATTTACAGCAACTCGATAAAAATCCAGCATACAACATGTGTGTGCGTTTACATACGTTTCACTCGAGGACAGACCCATACAGCGTGAGCGTCGGTTTTGCCCGGGGGGACTCCCATATAAAAAAACGGGGGTGCTCGTCTGAAATTTTGGAAAGAATCCCTAAGAGGTACCAAGATCCTGCTTTGTGGGCGTGGCTTGAAAATTTTTTCACCCTTAAGAGGTACCAATTCTAAAGCAAAAGATTATCTCCTGTCAAATTTCTTTTTCGGTCAATACCCTAAAGGGTACTGCAAAAGCTCCGGCTGTGTACCTTTTTAGGATGAACACCCTGAGAGGTACGATGAGCACCCCCGTGCTTTTTTATGTGAGTCCCCCCACCCCCGGGCGGTTTTCTACCAATCCTCACCTACTCCTTGGACACAAATATCAGCGGGAACTTCGGTTCCATTGTCAAAACACACCGCAGTTAACTACAAAGACAAAACGTAATGAGTTTTAAAAGAACCCTTATGAACTTGTTAACACCGAACTTCCACAATTGAGACAAAAACGTCAAAACAATGAATAACCAGCTCTCTTTTAGCACTTATTCAAGTGCTACTCAGGTGCACTCTTCTTGGACGAAATTAAGGTTACAAAATGCTTTGTATGCAAAGAAAATCTTACTTTTCCATTTTCTCCTTTGAACCCAGTCACACCAGCGTCGGTTATGAATTTGACTCCTTTACTTTCATGAATCTAAACAAAAAGCAAAAAAAGTTCTGACACGTAATTCTACAGAAATCCGTCGGTGAAAGGTTCCAGTCACTTGCTTATGAAATTTGCTCAGTCTTATACTTTAGCAGCGAATCTCGGATTTTAATGTTGCTAAGACAGTGTACATTACCTTTTTCAGCATGGAGCCAATTTTCTCTCCAAGCACATTCGTAAAAGGAATACTGCTTCTTCCGACACATGTTACAGAAGATGCTTTATCAGAAAAGTTAGAGGCCAGTTCCATACCTAAGAGACCAGCCAAAAATAAACAAACTGCATTTCAAATGGTCCATAAAGAAGTAACTTAAAGCTATTTGCTTACTAGTCAGAGTTAATCACAGTAAGATAGAGCTTGAAAACAATCATGCACCTAGACTGGATGATTTTAGGTTTTGCCCCCTCCCCTTCACACACCCCCTGCCCACCCCCTTCAGCTGTCTTAGTAGTGTACTAAATGTAGTGTAGACAAGTGATGAGAATGGAGATAACAACAAAAAAATGATGAGAGATTATATCAAGTATAACGAAATTGTTCAAACTGAGATAAAGCCACGAGTGAACGTCATTTTGCACTCAAAGCGTTCTTACAGTACTGTAAGTATGGACAATAAATTGATCAGTAGTGTTAATTAATTACCGATAAATGAAGTTCCTATGATCACCACATTCTTTTCAGCGACCAATGAAACTGCAGAGAACATAAATAAATATATATATATATTTAAAATGGCTTTCTTAATTCAAATTTGTAACGCACTGGTCAGCCAGATGGCCAATACTTATATTTATAACCACAAGACCACTTTTACTTAGAAAAAAAAAAAAAAAACAGAAAAATCGTCACACAATGCTATGTGACTCTTACTTGTTATAAGAGTTGTATGATGAGACGCCAATGCTTCAAGTTTGATCAACACAAACTTAGGAGTTTTAATTTCTTGTTTGCACAAACCCTTTCTCTTTCTTAATAACTCAGTCTTTTGAATGATCAAGTCCATGGTTCAAGTGCTATACCACTAGCCAAGGGTGCTAACTGTGTTGCATTCTTAGTCAAGGCACTTTCCTCTTTATTTTCTCCAGCTAAGAGTATGCATGAGGCAAACTGATGTAACATGAAGAAACCTGGAGTGAGCCAAACTCCAAGGCTCCTTCAGGTAGAGTAGTCAAGTTCCAAGTCAATTCATGTTATGGAAACGAAGATAAGGTCTGGTGGTATGGGTGACTTCAGTTACGCCTGAGAAAGGTTAATGTTCACTTTGGTTTGGTTGTGAATGTGAATGTGAATGTGAATATATTTATGTAGATAATACACATACTAATGTTGTTGGCATCATCTGGGCTTCTCAATAGGAAAATGTTCTCCAGATCACTCCCAGGGAGATTTAGCTTTCTTGGTCTGAAAATGAAACCAGAAAATATTCAATTATTTTACTTATATAAACAATTACCGGTAACATAGACAGTTTGATGGACAGAATGAAAATTGGATTTGTAGACAAGTAGTCTCACACAGAAATTATTGACAGAAAGACAGACAACTCACTCATGGTGAGGAACTGGTTAGACAGATGGATAATGCAGACATACACCACAGACTGACAGACTGGCAGTCACAAAAACAGACAGTTAGAGAAAGACCAACAGAAAAACAACAGGAAAAGAGGAAACAGGAAACTAAGGCAGTAGTTGACAGATGCTTGAGGAGATGGTAAGAGAGTCCTTATGGATGAATGAGTGCATGCTATATATTGGGATCATACTGCAAGCAGAAATCACTCACTTTCCTCCAGTAGCAATCAAAACATTGTCATAGTTCAAAACTCTGCCATCACTCAAAGTGACAGTTTTCTTGTTGTTATCCAATGCTGTAGCCTATATTGTACAAAAGAACATCTTTTACTAAATACAAAATGATTTTTCAACTGAGCCTTGCAACGAAGCTGCAGGAACAAGAATTCTACCTACACATAACCTAGGTGTTCAGAAAATGGGGGCAGCTATAGGTGGATAAATATATGTTATTGGCCGGCTGGGAGGTCTGCATAGTGAAAAACTGTGACTGAGGTCTTGAAAATGCTGTCCCAGGCCGCTGGCTGAGGGCAGCATTTTCATTTGGGTTTGTTTACGCAACTTTGTCATTGAATCGGTTTACATGCCATCTACAAACCATTTGTAAAAAATCTAATGAGCAAATGAGCGAGTAACTCAGATACTAGACAAAGAAAGATGTATCAGAGAACAGATTTATTTCAAACTACTTTTTTTATGTTAGTTGCATTTAGTTCACCAGTTCAGTTCTCCAAAAGTGTTTTTGCGGTGTGAAATTTTGTGCAAAGTTTGAAGTAGTACTACAAAAACAATATTTTTGTCAGTCGTTGCAAATCACTCAAAGTCAGACTTTTCTACCGTAAATTGCGTAGCAGATAGCGAAGAAATTCATAAAGTGTACTCCACAGAAATTCTCTCAATTACAGCAACGATCAGAGAGGTAAACTCAACTGAAATTGACTCATTTTTTACTTAAAATTGTACAGAGGGAGAGACACAACACAACTTCAAAAAACTCAATTGAACCCACTTACAGTGACTTTCCTTGGCATTTAGAGGTGAATAGAGATAAACCTGCATTGATAAATCATCTACAGAAGTGTAACAAGGGCGAAAGATTGTCAATTACCGCTAATTCGTTCCCGAAAATAGATCAACTCGACAGATTCCGCCCGCTGTGGCGGTGCGGATGAGAAAATTCTACCTGCTCCAGTAACCAATCAGATTGCAGGATTTGTTGAATTCCGCCCGCTCACGAGCTGAGAAAAAGATAATAATGCAGTATGTGGAGCTACAAGATTTGTTCACTAAAGTCTTCACTGGGCCTGAAGTGGCCCATACTGCTGTAGCTCATCCTGGTTTCTGCACCATGAGGTCACTAAGAATATGGGACACTGGTATATTGCACAGTTAACCCCAGCATTTAATTCAACAGTGTCAATTTATCCAGGGTGGAAAGAGAGGTCAGGGTCAGAATTAAGTATCTTGCCCAATAACACAACAATATAACCCAGGCCAGTGCTAAGAACCACAACTGCTTGATACAGAGTCCAGTGAGCTATCCATCAGGTCACTTTGTCTCTCACTGCATAGGTATGGGCAACCTGATGATGGAAGGTGCAGGGCTGGGGTAGCCTGTGTAAGACTATCATCCCGGCCAGCAGCAGTTAGCAATACTGGTAGTTGCTTAGCTTCATGCTATCATAATGGGATCCAGGAGAAAGTCTGGCTATAACATGAGGGAATGTTTGTCAGTCAATTCAAGGGTGTCTTTTCCCAACTGAATTGAAATCTATGGCCACGCTAACTCACCTCAGCTTGACTGATAAACTCAATATCATACTCCTGGAAATATTCCAAAGAACGCAGCTTTATTGAATCAGCAGTTGCAGCCAATTTCTATAATAAACAAAGGAAAACTATCATCAATCCCACATAGAGTAGGAGCATACTCCCTATAGCTAAGAGTGGTTTTCAACTGAGTTTAGTAAAACCAAAATCAAAATAATCACTCTGGCCAATCACAAATGACACACTCAGACAACCCTGTGAAAGTAATTAAAACTCGATGCCAATACATCTACCGGGTGCAAAGCACAGGAAAATGTGGACTAGCAAGTACGACTGGCTTAGTTTTAACTTTTGATTAGATGACAAAGTGAATAGATGCAATTTTTTTAAGCCAATCACTCAGCATGGTAATGCAACACCAAAGCAAAATTAATGCAAATTTATACTTTCAATATATAGTGAAGCAAAAAATTGCTCTTAACACAATGAGTATGGTTTGATCAAACCACTTGATATTGTCTGGTCACTGGCAATGTGAGCTGATTTATTTTTATGGAACCAAATTAACACGAAGGAGAAAGTTCTCTTTCTGTTTATATCATTGGTGAAACCTTTCATTGGCATGCAATCTGTAAAACCCAGGAGTTGGGGAAAAGAAAAATGAAATATAATGAAAGAAACAGCATTTAAAAACAAGTCTATTACTGCTTTCCAAAAAACCTTTCAACAGATTTTTTAACATGCATTGATGACAAGTTTTCTTTGTTTCGTTACCTATGTAAATGATGTACATGTGTACACAGTGTTCATTTTTCTTTTTTTTCTTTTCTTTCTTTCTTTTTTCTTTTCTCTTTGCAAAATGCAGAACTCTACACTAACCTTACTCAGAATTGGACGATCGTAGGGCACATGCTCTTCTTTTGAGACCATGATAACACGCCCTGCAAAAGGTGCATCAAAAATCTGTGAAAAAGTTCTTAACAGGCCTATATTCATGGTGATTAACTAACTTATGATGATTTCACTTCCTCTGATGCAGACAGAGTGCTGTAGTCAACTTGGTTGCACCTTGCTGAGTACTGCAAAGAACTTGGGCTTGATCATTGTCTAGACAATGATGAGAGAACAGTTTGAAAATTTATTGCCAGTGAGAACTGTCTACTGATCCAAAATATCACACAATGTTGCAACATTTTCTTGCACTTCTCCTGCTTCCCATCTGAACTCAGCCATTCCTCTTCCCATCCTCTCTTTTAATTCCTGTCTACTGTAGACTTCCCACTTCTAACCTCCACCCTCTGTACCTGCGGCCTCCCTAACCTCAGGTGATCATGTCTTTTTCTCCTACACTTACCAGAGGATTAGCCTGGCTCTCACTGTAACTTACTTGTACAATGGTTGTTATTATTTACTTTTTTTCTTACCTTTAAACCCCTCCTCCCTCAGTGTTTCCGCTGCTTTCATGGCTGACCCACCTGCAGAGTTAATATTTAAAAGTTACCTGTTAATTTTAATATTTAAATTAACAACCATTTGTATTCATCAAACACTCCCAACCAATTCTCACCTCCGCCAATGATTACAAAGACTCTCTTGTCATAATTTGTGTCTGCTTTGACCATCTTCTTCACTCTTTTATGGGATGTTAATTGCTACAGCAAAGTAAATTGAAAGTATAATTGTTATTAATAATATCATATTTTAAGACAGATTCCGCTCAAAGTTCGAGCAATGAGTGTAAAAATTATTTAGTAAAATTTACTCATAGCACTGTAACTTTGGGAATACTATTTCAAACCACTCACTTAAGTTCATTTCTCCAAGAGACCCCGCAATTAAATTCTCAAGCATCTCGAGAAAGTTA